GGAATCCACCCCGACCCCGGCCCAGGGTTCAGCTCCCCCCGCCCTCGACCCAGCGCCCGCCAACTGTCACCTCCCAATCCTGTCGTGGAGAAGCCTCAGCCCCACATCTGTGTCTGCCCCTTTCCTCAAAACAATAATCCCCCTTTGCCACTGTGTGGAGAGCCTTCCCTTGTCACAGCCCTAGCTGGAGCCCTTCTCCCCATCTTCCAGCCATTTAGCTGTGACCCCCGGGGCCAAGTACACACAGGTCTGTCGCCTTGAGCCCACCTCCCAGAGCCTCCCCTCCTGCTGTCCCTCTACCCTACCCTTGGGTCCTGACCCGCAGGGCCACCACACATAACCGTGGGCATGGCCAGGGTCAGAACAGGCGACATCTTCTTGGGGAAAACTTCTTTGGAGCCCTTCAGACCCCAGTCTCCAGCATCCTGCATCCTCACCCTAGGGTGGCCAGCAAATCCAGATGCTGCCCAGCTGTGAGGTGGTGCCCCTGGTGCTGATAACAAGACACATAGGGCAAGTACTCTTTTCAAAAGCTGAGCAAACCCACACCAGGTGGGTGGCTGTCCTCAGGAAACCTGGTCCGTTCCCTGATGCCCTCCTGAGCTGTCCTATGTTTGAGCTGGTCAGGCTGCCCAGCGGGTGCTCCCCACAACGCCTCCAGGAAGCCTACCCAGGTGTTGCCTGTCACTAGAGTTGATGCAGCAGAGGCCAGCCGAGCCTCCGCGGAGCTTTCTTTACTGGAGATTCTGGGTGGGCTTGGGGATTGGAGAAAACCCCTAGAGAAGGACCCATCTGGTTCATGAGTCTGGGAGTTCAGTGGGATGGGAGGGATGACCCCATGTGACTTAGCCTTATAGTGATGTAACTTTTGAGTCTAGTGTCCCCATCTGTGAAATGGGAATAATAAGAACTCCTGCCTCCTAGTGTAAGTAATGTCCTGGCATGTTATCATCAGCGGTCCCTGGAGGAGTGTTTGGCCATCCTGGGTATGGGGCTCACCCCAGGTCTCCCCTCTAGTCCTCCTACCAAAATCTAAACTGCATTTGTACTTGAGAGAGAATTTCAGTGGGTTCTGTTTTCTTTTCCATTGTCTGTTAGTTCTCTCTGAGGATAGAAACCATCCCAGGGTGGGGATGGTGTCTCATCCAACAGACTAGGAAGTCCCAAAAGACAGGTGCTGCACCTCTGTGTCCAGCACAGAGATGGAGCTCCCCTATCTGTCATGGGGCTCTTTGAGGGCAGAGACTACACCTCCCCCATCAGCCTGGGGATTCACAGAGGCAGGGATTCCAGCTCTCCCATGACGGGGGTGGGGGCTGGTCTGTCAGCACAGGGACATGCTTCTGCCATCAGATGAGGGCTCCCCCAAGATCAGGAGCTAGGCCTCCCCTAATCAGACTGGGGACTCCCCAGGAGTAGGGGCCTTGTACCTCTGCTGCTGTGATCCACTGGACAGAATTCTCTGCCTTCCTTCCAGACTTCGAATAATGGCCAGAGGCAGGGCAGTGGGGAGAGGAGGTAGGGGTGACCTCCATGTCAGAACATGAGATGGAATCACGACACAAGCCAGAGTGCAAACGCAGCCCCCAGCGTAAGTGGGCAACATGCAGGGGCCCCAGGTCAGAGTGGAAGAGGGCAGAAAAATGATGCTGGCAGCGAGGAGCAGTGGACCAGAATTCCTGGGTCTTCTGGGGAACCAGAGCACTCACTCTTCCCCCCAACTCCCTCCATAGGTCATCTGTGGCCAGGATGATGGCCCCCCTGGCTCGGAGGACCCTGAGCATGATGACCACGAGAGCCAGCCCCGGCCCCGGATGCCTCGGAAGCGGGGCCACATCTCACCTAAGTCCCGCCCCATGGCCAACTCTACTCTCCTAGGGCTGCTGGCTCCACCTGGCGAGGCATGGGGGATCCTTGGACAGCCCCCCAGTCGCCCGAACCACAGCCCCTCACCTTCGGCCAAGGTGAAGAAAATCTTTGGCTGGGGTGACTTCTACTCCAACATCAAGACGGTTGCCCTGAACCTGCTCGTCACAGGGAAGATCGTGGACCACGGCAACGGGACCTTCAGTGTCCACTTCCAACACAATGCCACGGGCCAGGGCAACATCTCCATCAGCCTTGTGCCCCCCGGTAAAGCTGTAGAGTTCCACCAAGAGCAGCAGATCTTCATTGAAGCCAAGGCCTCCAAAATCTTCAACTGCCGAATGGAGTGGGAGAAGGTGGAACGGGGCCGCCGGATCTCGCTCTGCACCCACGACCCCGCCAAGACCTGCTCCCGAGACCACGCTCAGAGCTCAGCCACCTGGAGCTGCTCCCAGCCCTTCAAAGTCGTCTGCGTCTACATCGCCTTCTATAGTACGGACTACAGGCTGGTCCAGAAGGTGTGCCCGGATTACAACTACCACAGTGATACTCCCTACTACCCCTCCGGCTGACCCCGGGCAGGCCACAGAGGCTGGGCCAGGGCTGGAAGGACAGGCCTGCCCACACATGAAGCCATCTGTCTGGGTACTGGGCAGGGAAAGGAAGAAGCCTCGGGCGGGGAGCAGGGGTGGGTGGAGAGGAGATGCCAAGTGGGGCCAAGGCCAAATCTCAAGTGGCAGGGAAAGGGTCCCAGCAGCTGGCCCCAACCTGATGTTGCAGAGTGACCAGCACACAGGAGCACCGGCCATGGAGTGGGTTCTCCGGGCAGCCTCACAGGCTGACTGAGGGACAGGAAGATGCTGGGTGCAGGAGGCCCGTGGGGCAGGCAGACCGATAAAGTCACTGAGAGGAGCCTAAAACCTTGGCTCCCTCCCTGCCATCCTGAGAAAGAACAGCAACAAGGAGAGGGTTATTTCATCAGTGTGGACACCAAGTAGGCGCTGAAGGATGGCTGACACTGGGCGTCCTGGGAGCCAGCATGGGGTGGGGGTGGGGGGCAGGAGGAACTCTCCAGCCCCACCCAGTGGGCAGCCCTAAGCCTCTCATCCTGGACGGTGGACTGAGCTGGGCTTGAGGCTGAAGTGGTGATCCTTGGAGGCTGATATCTTGACAGATAGACCATCTGCCCAAGCCAGGCCACCCTTTTCCAAACTTTCTTCTTCTGCCGTTGCTCCCCACCCCAACCCTCATGCTGAAGGGACACCAGTCCTTAAGCTGAGACAGAGGGTGATGGTGGATCTCCCAGCACCAAGGCCACAGGCGGAAGCCCACCCGTGAGCCACGTGGCCCTCCTCTGCCCCATCTCTCACTAGATCCTCTGGGAGCTTCCTTGTTCAGCGCGTGATCCTTCCATAGCCAGCCTTGCCCATCAGACTGGGGTGCGGCCGGATAGATGCCTCCCTCGTGACCGGCGGGGCCATCAGCAGCTCTGGGCAGGGTGAGGCCAGACTGCGGAGGGTGTGCCGGACCTGTTCTGTAGTGTCTGTCTGTGGGTGGGGGGAGGGGGGAGGTTTTGTGAAATCACCTGATTGTCGACTTCTGTGTGCAGAATCTTGTTCTTGGAGCAGGGAATAAAGCTTTCCCAGGGCGTTGGACTCTGAGTGGTCTGGAAGGTAGGTTGGAGGTAGGGGAAAGGGCCACAGGTGCCCCTGTGGTCTAGCAGGCAGAAAGACAATATCTGGAGGCCAGAGTCGCAGGGCTCCAACAGCTGCTGGGGCTGATGCTCAGTGTCGGCTCCAAGGCTTCCCTCTCCACCCCCCTTCCAGCCACGAAAGCTGGGCCAGTGCTGTGCTGGTGGGGCTGGGGGTGGCATCTGCAAAGCAGCTGGGAAGGAAGAGCCAACAGGCAGGATGGCCACATCGGGGTGCCTTCCTGGATCCGCCATCTAGGCGGACCCAGTGGAGTGTCAGCTCTCTGTCAGTAGTTTGCTCTGTGGCCTTGGGCAAGTCCATTCCCCTCTCTGGTTCTCTTTTCATTTCTTCTCTATAAAATGAGGAGCTTGTCCAGCCCAGAGGTTCTGAAATGTGAGTGGGCCTCTGAATCACCAAGAGGGCTGTTAAAACCCAGATTTCTGGGTCCCACCCTATCGTTGCTAATTCAGTAGGTCTGGGGTGGGGTCTAAGATTTGCTTTTCTAACAAGTGTGCCCAGGGAGATGCCAACGCTCCCTGCCCAGAGACCGCACTTCGAGGACCGCGCAGATGTCCTCTGAGTTCCTTCCTGGCTCCGGCTTCCTAGGATGACACGACCCCTCTGATGCTCTCCCCAGCTGTGATTCCCAGCTGCTTCTCCTGTGGCAGTCGCCTGGGAAGGGTCCCTTCAGAGAACCATGAGCACTGGGTTTCCGGTGTGGTGACGTGCTAGGGAAGGAACAGGCCAGGGTGGAGTGGGGACAGAAGCGGGCTTGAAAGCAGCCATCGTCCTGCCCTGCCCTGCCCTGCCCTAGCCAGTAGAAGGGCTTCAGCGTGGCTGCCTGGCTGCCCGGCTGCCCAGGGGGAGGGGGGCACCTCACCTGGGCCTGAGCTGGGCCCTTCGGGGCTCCGTGAGGGGAAGGCTGGGCTCCCACTGCCAAGCTCACAGTCCCTGCTCGGGGGGGCCATTCAGGATCTGTGTTCTCGGGAGGGCAGCACACAGGCCCCCGGAGTCCCTTCTGGCTGTGGAGCCAGAGTGAGGGGAGTCGGGGCATGAGGTAAGGTGCTCTCACCACCCCCAGCCTGTCTCCCCCACCCACCAGCACTCAGCGCAGACTGGTGCCCTCCCGCTGCCGAGCAGAGCTGCACCGGGCCTAAGAGACCACCTTGCTGTAGTCCCACGTTGTACCAAGTGACCCAGGAGGGTGAGTGACCCGAGCCCACACTCCTATTCCAGCCTCTGCCCTGCAGCGTGCGTCCAGGGGCCGGGCTGGGTCTCCAGAGCAGGCTTGAGACACTCCCCAACTCCTCCATGCCACCCTCTCCGTTCCCACTCTGGGGACAGGGCTTGGGCCCTGCCATGGAGGGCGTGGGGTTGCTGGGATCTGGTGCATGGCCCACCTGTGGACACACCCTGGACCCCGACTGTGACTGTGATTGGCTCCCACAGCCCTGCGGGCAGGGGTCCGGAGAAAGGGAGGGAGGGAGGGAGCGCTGAGCGCCCCCCAGGCCCCTCCTCTGTCTGGCCCTGGCCTGGCTGAACTGTCAGCGGGATGAGGGGGCACTCTGACCCACCCCCTCTGGCTCCGCTGCTCCTCCTGCAGAGAGCCAGATGCTGCCGACAGCTGGAAGGCTGGCCTGCCTGGCACACAGTTCTGCCTGCACAGGGGGTGGGTTCATTTTAATAACTTCATTTCACCCTCACGCACACTCTGCCGCCTCATCCCTCCTTTTTCACATTCCCCAGTGTCGCGTCGGTACTTCTCAGTTAGGATCGTGCCAACATATTTCCTCCCGAATCATAATTCTTTTAGAATAGCCCTATTATAATAGCCCTTTGCGCCCTATTAGTCTTGCCATTACCAGATACTTCCTCGTCCGCTTAGTCCCGCAAAGGTAAGGGCTCCATCAAAGCTTCTAGCTATGGAGGTGCCAACCTCTGCCCCCTTGATGAGTAATGCTTGGAGCATCCCCCTGGGAGATGGACCCCCAGTCACTGCCAAGTGCTTGGACCCCCACTCTTGCCACTGGAAACTCACAGGAGAGCACATTCCTCGGGAACAAGCCTATCTCCTCTCCCAGAGGGAACCTCTAGGTCCCACCCTCACCCCCAAACCTTTGGCGTTCCCCAGCGTCATCACCCTTCAGATCTAGCTGCTGGTCCTGAGGCCCTGCTCCCCTGCCAACTCAACCAGGCTGGGGAGCTGCCCAGGACAGGGTCCTTGTCTCCTCTGTTCCAGTGGCGCCTCTGCGTCATGCCTACCAGACTAGGGGCTCTTTGGGGACAGGAGGCCCTGGGGCCAGGTTCTGTGCCTCCTTTATCAGATTGGGGTCTCTCTGAGGGCAGGGACTGCAAAATGGATGCAGAGGGGGAAGCTTGTTCTTTCTAAGCATTGGAACACCTGGAGGTCGCCTCTGTCCTCCGTCTTGTGTACATCTAGGCAAGCATTCCCATCTGGGCCTCAGCATTCCCATCTCTATGGGGGGTAAGTCTTCCCAGCAGCCTCTGACGCTAGCAAGAGGAAATACATGTTAGGTCAACTGGCACTGATGACATCTTCCCCTTGATGCACCTCAAGTCAAAGCAAATGGATGCCTGGGTTCCTCCTCCCTCCTCTCTCCTCCCTCCCCTCTCACTCTACTTCCCCGAGATGAGCAAGCAGGAACTGAGTCACACCCTTTCCCATCCTTGGCAGAAATGCTAGTGACCTTGCATGTGGCAGACTTCCGTGGCAAGGCCTATTGCTCAGAGATGCTCGAGGTGGTAGGTGGGGAGGGAGGCTGGTGAAAGGGTATGGTGGGGGATGGAGGCAACTGAAGGTCATGTGTGAAGCGACTAGGGTGCTGGATTATTGAGTGGGTATGCATAAGGGGTTGTGGGAGACACAATGAACCAGTTGCTCCATGTTGGGAAGTGATCCAGTGTCATAGCTGGGCGTGGGAGAGAGAAACGTCACTTCTGAAGACAGTCCTGCCAGAAGAACCAGGGGCTGGGTGACAGGCAAGGAGAGGAGCTACCAGCCCCACTAGGCAGAGGCAAGATCGGGCGAGGGCAGGCAGCACCTGCCCATTATACCAAAGTCCTGGAGTGGCAGCTGCTAAGCTGTCCCCAAGGCACAAACGCCAGAGTAGAACAGGCACTCAGAGGTTGGGGGCTGGGCTCTGGTTCCACAGGAGACCCCATTTTCTGTTGGCCTGCCAAGCTCAAGGCTGAACTGATAACAATCCAAGCTAACATGTCTAGTTCAAATCCTTCCAGTTCATCATCTCTGAGCCACCTGGCTAGATGATCCTAAGGGGCACATTAGCACCTTTTGAGCCACAGAAGCTACCAAAAAAACTAGCAATGTGAGTGTTGCAGGAAGATACATCTGGATCCCAGTTCTGGGTCTATAACTTATTAGCCTTGGACAAATGACATAATCTCCCAGAGTTTCCTTACATGAAAAACTGGGGATCTATTACCTGCCTTGGAGCATTGTTGGGAAAATTAAATGTTACTCCCTCCTCCTTGTTTCTGGATGTGGGTTTCTGTTCACGTCAGGCTTGCTCCTGGTGTGGGTAGGTGGAAGTGCCCCAGCCTGGAGGTAAGAGACCTCGTTTCCTCCCTGGTTCTGTCCCTTAATTCATGTGGCAGAGACCACTAATAATCCATTTCCCCTTTCTCCATAGTAATGGAATTCTCAATTTTTAGCTGAGCACATGACTGCCTGAAAAAAAATTTTTTTTGCTTCTCTTACACCTAGATGTGGCCATGTGACTAAAATCTAGCCAGTGACATATAAGCCAAGGAGTTCTTTGGCAACTTACGGAAGTCTTAAGATCGTTGATGTACACGAGTGCCCCTTCTTCTTTGTTCCATCCTCTGTCCTGCTGCCTGGAATGTGTATATGATTGCTGGAGCTCTAGCAGCCATCTTAGACCATGAGGGATAAGAGCCATACCCTAGAAGCTGCAGAGCAATGAACTAGAAGAAATCCTGGTCCCTGAAAAATTTGTGGAATAGAAATACCACCCCAGTCCTAGGCTCCTACCTTCACTTTTTATGTGAGAGAAAAATCCAATTTCTTTCTTACTTCTATCAAATTTCTATCTCATTGGGTCTCTGTTTCTAGCAGTGATGTCTAGCTCCACTTGATTCGGTGGATGTGGTTGAGTACTTCAGTTCTGTTGACCTCAGTTTCCTCACCTGTAGAAATGAGGAAATGCTCACATATGTTGCCGCACGTCAGAGAGGTTACATAGACTCATGGGCAAGAAGGTACTAGGGAAAGCGCTGGTCCTCTGCCCCCTCTCTGGCACTGAGGTGCCATTTGGGAGGCAGAACAAGTTGCTGCTGCAGTGCAGGGGGCCCCTGAGAGGCTCAGAAGCATTCACTACCTCTGTCTGAAAGGCCTCCAATCCCCCAATTGAGCCCCCACACGTCTGAGTCCCCATCCACGTTCTGATGTTGGTGACACACAATCCTCGTTAAGGGCCTGACTGATCCCAGCCAGATGGGATCCTAATTTAATTAAAACCCTTTAATTACCTGCAACAACACAGCTTTGGAAGTCCAATGCAGAAGGGGGCCTGCGATGGGAGGGGGATCTTTGACAGGGCAGAGTAGGGGCTGCCCTTTTGTCACTCTGGGACCCTGGGGTTGTAAGGCGCTCCTCCTACCAGGGTGGGCTCAGACTGTGCGGAGCAGCCGTATGGCCCGTGTTTCTGGCTTGGTCCATTGCCAAGCTGGGGAGCGAGGCAAACCAGGCACTTGGGGGCAGAGTCCCAGGCTCTTGAACATGAAGCTGTCAGTGTTGGGTTTGTGCTTACACTGAGACTAACATAGACTGTCTGAACTCAGATCTGAGCCCCCCAAGACCCTGGGCCTGCCGGGAACACTCTGATTCCTGATTCTGATCCCTCCTGAACTGGCCTGGCTTAAGAAATAGGGGTACCTCTGGCTCCACCAAGAAAAAG